CTTTTTTCCATAATTGTTGGCCGAGAGATCAAATCTTTTGGGAGGGAGAGAGCAAGGAAATGGTTATTTCAACAAGGTGCTGCCTCAACGTGTCCCCTCCAACCCCAAATCCTGGCTCAGACAACCCTTCTTTTAACACCAAGGGACCCCAAGTTGCATGGTAAGTCAAAATATGTGTTTTAGGGTTCACCAGTGTTTTTTCTCTGCAGGATTGGGTACTTGAAAGTTTTGTGGAATTCGTTTTAGGCCGAAGGACGATAAATGGAGGAAGCAATGCGCATTAGGCTTGGCCTGCATGATGATCGGGTTACAAGTAGGCGACATGAATGCCAACTGCGCCATCGCTAGAGAAATTCCATCGGTCGCCGTGGAATCGAACTCGAGAGTGATCGGCCCATCGGAGATGGGAGGCTATTGGTTTCTCTGATAATGCACCATTAATAAAAGAGAAGGTGGCTTGGAAAACAATAGCCGGCTGCTTCTCTATGTGATTTCCACATTGTTGTATAGACCAAGTCAGTGGCGGACGGAACGATTATTCTTGAAAATTTTAAATTATCATATAATTTAAATATTTTTATGAAAATAATGTATCCGTCCCTAGAATCAATACCTATTGATTGTAACATAAATGATGAAAAATGATTAAATTCAAATCTTATTACTTGAATGGGTCTAGTTGTAGTACTCGATTGGTGCCATTTGAGTTGGGTGTAGTAGAGTAGTACACATGCAGTACAAGTTGAACGAATATCTTATTATATAAGGAGGCGCCGTTGTGGGGAAATGCACCTTATTATACGATTAAAAAAAGATGTTATCGGTTTTGTTATTGTTTAAATAATAAAATCGGTCAAAAATGACCGAAACATTATTAGGCGTTGCCAGTTTTGTTATTATTGGGTGTTTTAACCAGATTTTGAAAAAAAATGACTGGAAACATTATTAGGCGCTATCGGTTTTATTATTGTTGGGCTTTTTACTAGAAATGTTAAAAAAAAATATTTTAAGTAAAAATAATAATATTTTCGATAATTTTTTAACGATTTTGTTATTTTTTAAATAACAAAACCTGAATGACCTTTTTTAATTGTATATTAAAATGTCGTACAGTAGAATTTCCCGCCGTTGTGGACCACGCCCATGCATGGATATTTCAATCTACTTTGGGCTTGGGGAAAGACCGAAATTATGCTAAAAAGCCTAAATATGACCGAAAATGATATTTTTCTTGTTAAAATAAAGGGTAAATTAAATATTTAGCACCTAAACTATCAGTTTTAATCTATTTTAATACTTAAACTTTCAATTTTTTCAAAATCATATATAACATTTAGTTTTCATTTCATTTTAGTATACTGTCGTTAAAAACTTAACACGTTTAGTACCGAAACTAACAATTTTGGTTCGCTTTAGCATATACACTTTCAATCTTTTCGAAACTTAAAATTAAATTTTGAACAACGGGTACTAAATGAAACAAAAACTAATTTTTTTAACGGCGGGATACTAATATGAAACAAAAAACTAAACTTTAGGTATCGTTTTAGAAAATTAGAAGTATTACTAAAACTGACTAAAATTGATAGTTTAAATACTAAACGTTTAATTTACCCTAAAAGAAGTTTTTTTTGTATACTTTTGCACTTTATTTACAAGTTTTTTTCGTATAGTATGGGAATATATATATATATATGTGTGTGTGTGTAGTCAAAGAATTTTAAAGACTTTTTTTTGACCCATGAGCCAAATTAAAATTTAGGGCAAAACACATTAAAGATCTATAAACTATATTTATATGATCATTTTAATCATCAAACTTTTAAAAATTATAAAATATTAATTAAACCTTTTGAATAATTATAAAACAATGGCTTAATGCCCAAATAAGTGCCTAAACTATGCCTTTTTTGCCAACTAAGTGCCTACAATTTTTTTGACCCAACCGGGTGTCTAACGTTACAAACGTTACCCTTCTAGGTGCCCAGGTGATTAACACTATTAGTTTTCCCCCATTAAGTGCCACGTGTCAACACCTGATAATTTTAAAATTTATTTTTTATAAAAACTATTAAAACTATTATTATATTTATAAAAAAACCCTAACTTATCTTATATTATAAAACAACTCCAAAATACTAAATCCTAACCTTAATCCACCGTCAGTGCCTTCTTCGGCCACCACCGTCGTTGCCGACGTAGTCCTTGACATCATCCTAGTTATATGCCATCATAGTTGTTGCCGATTCACCATTGAAATCGCATGGGATCACGATTTTCATCCTAGGGTTCGTGAGATTTAAAATGTCGATTTGTGGTCGATTGATCGTCAACATGTCACGATTTCATAGGGGTTATGGTCGTCGGGGGGAAGGGAGGGCGGGTGGAGCTTCTTTGACGGTAAAGGTTGGTGATCGATGTGGGTTTAGGGTTGAAATGAAAGTTCTCAAAGTTTAGGGTTATTTTAAAATTTATGTTTTTTAATATATAATTTTATTTTTATATAAACTTTTTAAAATTACCAGGTGTTGACACATGTCACTTAACGGGGAAAACTAACGGCGTTGACTACCTGGGCACCTAAAATGGTAACATTTGTAACGTTAGACACCTGGATGAGCCAAAATAACCATGGGCATTTATTTGGCACAAAAGGGATAATTTGGGCACTTACTTGGGAATTAAGCCTCAAACAATTATTAAACCTCCCGAAACCTCTTAGGTTCCCTCTCTCCCACATAAAACCAAAGGGTGACATCATCCAAATCCCTCCAAATCAGCCATTTATTTCTCAATGGGTAAATTACACTTTTAGACTTCCAAACTTAGATTTTTCTAAAAGAATCTCCTTTTTCTAGGCACAAATGGACCCAGTTGAGGTCTAACAAGCCTCAGGGGTCCAATTAGATTTACATACGGCCCATGACCACCTCGTGTCAACTCCTCACGCGTTGACTCAAAAATTTGGATCGTTACAAAAATAGCATATCAAAACATGAAATATATATATAATTGTCAAACCAACCACTAAGCTTACACAAAACATAGCTAAAAAAGGCTACTCAATACACATAGTGACACTTATTTGCATAGCTACCATACATTCCCCTGAACTTCCAATCTTTACACTTTAGCCCTAAACTTTCAATCTCTACACTTTAGTCTTCAGTTGGAAACTGAATCGTATTATACATTTAACCTAACCAAATTATTTTCATCAAACATATATTCAAAGGCTTAAGATAGTTTTAAACTTCTCAAAATCGTTTTTTGATCATCGGACATCGAAAAATTCTGGACTTATTTTCGGAGTGTTATATTAGTTACTTGGTCAGTAATTACGATTCACGAGTCCCTATATATTATTAGATAAAAAGACCAAAAAAAAATATGTTTGGGAGAAAAAGGAGAAGTTCACTTGCCGCTATTATGGTCTCATATGTCACATTAGTCCTTACATTATGGGATTCTAAATTTTTTGATATGAAAGCAAATATGAGATGTTCAAAGAAAATCTCATAAGAAAGTGCGGGCGAGAAAAAGTTAGCTTTGTAGATCAAACACTAGTTGATTATGGGGATGATTATGGGGATGGGCATAGGACTCGAACTTAACGGGTTTCGATTAGGTTGGGTCGGTTTTCTTAAAAAAATTAGGGCTCAGGTTGGGTTTTTTAGAAGTTGTGTTCGGGTCGGATCGGGTTCGGGTTTAAGGTGAAAAATATCTAATCCAACCCCAAAAAATATATAATTTTTTGGATTTTATTTTGGGTTGGGTCAGCCGGTTTGGATTTTATCTCAAAAATTCGGATCGGATTCGGGTCGGGTGGAGGATTTAAATTTTTTAGGTCGGGTTGAACGAAACTCGAACCGTACTCATCCCTAGTTGATTATTGTAGATCACACATTAGTTAATGAATACTTTTCTCGGTCTTATGACTAAGATAAATTGCATTATCTATTCTTATCAGTTTAATATATGCATAATTACGATTCGATTTATTAATCTAAAACGATACCACGAATACGAAAATTATTCGTTAGTCTGCAACATAATCTCCATATAAAGGAACTCATTCTTAATGTTTCTAAGGATGTAAATAAATCGAGACAAGTCGTAATTTATTCGAATTTATGTTGCGGGTGTTACGGATATTATAAAATGATTCATTTTCTAAAAACAACTATGATTTTATGTTGCAGATGCAATTTGTAATATCGCGATGATATTAGAAAACATTACGATACGACCGTCATACTGTGTTGTAGCCGTAATTTAAGTACCATGTATTGAGGAGATTACGTGTCGGTAATAAATTGTATGCCTAGGTTTCATTTGAATTCAACAAAATCTGCAGTCGGCAGGTTGAACCAAGTACCAACCGTTCTCTCTTCCCTTTTGTTCTCCGTTTGGTAAAAGAGGACTTGATCTAGTTCTGCAGTCGGCAGGTTCAACCATATATCATTTTCACAGTCAAAGCTGCAATATCACACACGTCTGAACACAATTCCATCGAGTGATTAACGTTGAAATTGTCGAGTGGACACCGATTCTTCCTTTTCTTCCTTAGATAGAGAGCAAATCTTGAACCTTCAACCCATGCAGATGACATGTTCATAAGAAACGTGTCAATTATCATATATTTTATAGAATTTTATAAGTTAAAGTTTATCCCCTATAATTATATAAGGTCAAATTCGTCCCCCTAACATAAAATCATTCGTCCGTCCGGAGCAACACATTGACACAAACTTAAAAGTGACTCAATTATTCCCACCATTTCATTTTGATTTCATTTTTTTGCTTAATTATTTACAGCTAAAATAAATAAATAAAACTATTAGTGTGATAATTTTTTTATTTTTTTCGATAATAATGTGACCTTATAGTAACAAGTTTACATTACCATGTTAAAATTCTTTAACTACTGAGGTATTTATTTACATTAAAATCACACAACTTTGGCACTAACCTTCATTAGGGGAAAAATAAAGAAAGAACAAGGGAAAGGAAAACAAGCCTGATTAATATTAAATTCTAATAAACGAAAGTGCTTCCACGAAATTCGTAGACTTAATGCCCACGTATTCTTTGACCGTCACAGATCGGTATCTAGGTTTTTCGCCTGAATTTAAGAGCTTTAACAATGGCGACACTCTACAATCCGAGGGTAATCCATAGAAGTAAGCCTCCGATAACCGGTGATACCCTTCTTGGTTCAGAACAGCTCTATGAAGCGCGCTCTTGAACCGAGCGTTCGATAAAATATGCAAAAGGTCGCCGACGTTCACCACGAGGGCACCGGCGATGGGGCGAACCGAAACCCAACCGGCTCCTTGTTTGAAGATCTGGAGGCCACTTAGGGCGCTTTGGTGTAGAATGGTCAACAGGGATGTGTCTGTGTGTGGGGCTAGACCCATGGCTCGGTTCGGATTGGGGCACGGTGGGTACGAGTTCAGCTGCAGGGCGGCGCCGAATGGTGAACCAACGTCCCGGTTTAGGTCTTCTCCGGTGATTTCCAGCGATCCCAGGATGAGGTTTGTTAGCTTCTCGGCTTCAGCTTCCATTTTCTTTTGATATCTTTCCATTACATCGCTGTTCAACACCCAAAAACTCATGTTCATAACGATAGTAATTGGTAATATCTTTCATGTCATGGCAACGATGAAGGACGGATCCAGAAGCCCGATGGAGGCGGTCGTTTCTTTAACAAATTTAGATTCTTATAAAATCTATATATTTTCTCTGTATATTCTATTGATAATTTATTTTAGCTTCTAAAATTTTATAAGTTTATCTTTTTAAATCTTACATATCAAACTATATCTATCTCAGGTCTCGATAAGAAGAAGTTTCAAAACACATAGTTCGGAACATAGTATTTTATTGCAATAAGGGTATAAAATTTTAAGGGACAAATGTCGATAAATTTTTTTAATTATTACATCTAGAATATATGATGACTTCAATTTTTTTAGAGTGCTATCCCTGCATGCTCCCTCTTGATCTATCCCTAGCTCTACGTGCATGCATGAAAATTGCATGGAACTTACCAAAAACGTGCATTGTCGTTAGGCCAAAGCATCCTAGCATGATCTGCCGGTGAATCCATGATGGTGAACCCTTCATGCCACATATACTTGGGGAAAAACTTCGATATCCGAGGTAGACCATATCCAGTGGCACCTTCCGGTTCACGTAAAGCCTTCATCTTCGTCTCGACCGGGAGGGAAAACAATCGTCGAGTCTCCGACTCGATTTCTTCAAGAAGATTCAAAGGAATACCATGGTTAATAACCTGGAAAGCACCCCATGTCTCACATGCTTGCCCCACGAGTTTTGCGGCATCGGTATCTTTAAGATCGATGGTCGGGATCGTTAACCGGTGATCGGATGAGAAGTCGTCGGATTTAGGCCACACGTGTGAATCGGGAACCGTTCGGACAGAGTTGAAATCCAAAGGAATGATATGGTGGAGGTGGATCGGATTTTCTCTATATACTTGGGAGAGAGTGCTTGTGGCCATGATAAGCTCAAAGATGAAGAAAAAGTAAACCAAAAAGTTAATACACTATGCTTAAGGGTTTTGTTGTGTTGATTAGTAAAGCGTACTATTATATATACATGTATATGGTTGTCATGTCTTAATATAATATAATATAATTAGAATTTTATTTTATTTTATTTTATTTGAAATTATATAATATAAATACGATAGACAAATTCTGATTAAAATATAATATAAAACTAACGTAAATACAAACATATAATAAATTAGGCCACACGTGTGAATCGGGGGTTGTTCACCCTTTCTAATTTAGACGTAGAGTCGTGGTTGGTAGTTTTATAGAGGAGAAGGATAGAACAATTGGATTGAACATGACGGTGAACAATCATCGGGAGAAAGATGTGAAAACTAGAGAGGGAATTCGAGAGAGATAGGTACAAAAGGAGTCTGAGAGAAAGAATCCAGATTCTTTCAATGTTGGTGTGAGGCCTAAGATTATGATAGCTATTCGTAGGCAAATAAAATGATTAGAAACGACTTTTAAATAATAAATTTGACTCTCATAGATCACATGAACTTGTTAGCGATCACGTCAGGGGTTGTTAATTGCTCGGAGAACGTAAAATTTCTGAAAGTTTCAACAAACTCTAAAAGATATAGAGTTATGAAGGAAGTGGAAAGGAATTCTAAAAACCTCAACAAAATGACAGTGGAATGTTACTTAAAAGATATAACAAAGCTCTAATATTCAAATTTTAATGCTATAACAATTTAGGGTAAAGTATACAAATGGTCCCTCGACTACAGAGTGTTGTTTTATTGAGTCATCCGACTATTAAAAGTTACAAAATGATTTTCTAACTATATGGCATTACTTTTTTGAGTCCCTTGACTATTAAAAGTTACAAAATGGTCATCTGACTATTCATTGTGTTCCAAACTCGTCCATTTTTGTTAAAAAAATGATAGCGGTTTGAGCTGGATTTTAACCCGTTGATTGTGATATGATAGACGTTTGAGACTCGGAGATCAGATTATATCATATATTAATTAGCCAGCATGTTAACACCCAACTCGAATTGCCATCATTTTTAACAGAAAAAGGAAGAGTTGGGAACACAATGAATAGTTAGGTAACCGTTTTGTAACTTTTAATAGTCACGAGACTTAAAAAAGTAACGTCTTATAGCCGAAGGACCATTTTACAACTTTTAATAATTGAATGACTCAATAAAGCAACACCATGTAGTCGAGGCCATTTATGTACTTTACCCAATAATTTAAAATACACACAACAAAACATAAATATAGAGATTATCGAATCTGAATTAGATGGCACATAAGATGAGGTAGGTAAGGGCGGCTGTTTGGACAGAGATTTAGAATAATTTGGAGTTATTCGTTGAAAAAGACAAGACAAGGAACAAACAATGTGGAAAGTTGGGGGATCTCAATGACTGAAAACAGTTTTTTTGTTACATGGTTAGCAGGGACTCTTTTTTAATTAATTAAAATTTCATTTCCTTTTAACTTTTGTGTGCTTTGTCCTCAGCTGTAAACTTTTGGGAAATTTGAGGACTGCTTAATTTTAAAAGTTGAATGCTCCCAAGTCCAATGATGATAATTGCATAAAATACAATTAGCCGGACTAGTTTGTATTTTCTTTTGTTTCTTCTATCAAGGAGTAGATCAAACGATTTCAAAATTGAACAAATAAATAGACAAATAAAATACAATCGTATAAAATCATATGTTTGAATCATCTTCGATTTCGACCTGACATCAGTCAATTGTAAGAAGTAGTTGGTTGTCAATTGACAATTTTACCTCTCTGTCACACCTACAAAAGCGACAGTCTCTCTCTAATTGTTTATACAATTGATGGTCTCGGTACTTCCTTCCTTCTCGAAAAATTTTTCTTATTGAAGAGAACATCACAAGCGGATTCCACTTTCTTGCATCGAATGTGCAAGGTTTAGAAAACTGTGTTAACCTTCATGACAACGTCCATTTTTAAATTAATTCAATCCGAAAAAATTACTTCTAAGATAATAATTTCTATCGCGAGATAATAACTAATATATCATTTTGCAGTATACTTGGTAACACCAAAAACCTTGATCACTAGCCTTGCACTCTACCTACCAACGCATAAACATGGTCGCCCACATGTGATTGTACGAATAATGCTAACATGGCATTGAGAAAATATTTGTATGATGCATCTTTAATATAATGACAAATGGTATCGTTTAATTTTTATTAACGTCAGATTATATAGTTGAACTTAGATCTAGAAAATAATTAAACTATATTATATAAATATAAGACAAATACACGAATTATTGTAGGAAGAAAATCATTCTTGGTGAGATGGGATCAAAATTTGTATAGTCTAGGAGCTCTCTTAGGGATGGGCATGGCTCGGGTTTCGGCCAACCCGACCCGAAAATTTTACATCCTTCATCCGACCCGAAAAATATATACCCTCCACCCGACCCGAACCCAACCCGACTTTTTGAGATAAAATCCGAACCTGACCCGACCCTACCCGAAATAATAAAAAATATTATTTTTATTCAATAAAAACAGTGATTTAATTAAAAAATAATATATAGAGGGGCATTATTGTAATTATTCCTAAATATATAAGATAAAATTATATATTTTTTCGGGTCGGGTTTTTTCATCCCAAATCCGAATCCGACCGACCCGACCCGAACATCAACTTTAAAAAACCGAACCCAAATTTTTAAAAAAACCCGACCCTATCGGGTCCCATGCCCATCCCTAAGCTTAAGGGTGAGCAACGAAACCGAGAAAACCGAAAAACCGACACAAACCGAGTAAAACGGTTCGGTTCGGTTCGGTTTGGCTTTAAACGGTTCGGTTTTCGGTTCGATTTAAAGGCTTCATTTTTTTGATTCGGTTCGGTTCGGGTTTTCCATATGGAACCCATTTGTTCCATATTGAACCGAATAGGCAATTTTTGTAAAAAAAATTATAGTTTCAAGTGATTTTTTCATTGAAAAACCGAACCGAACCGAACCGAAAAACCCGAACCGTTAAAAAACCCGAACCGAACCGAAAAAACCGGTTTCGGTTTTTTCGGATTTTTAACTATTTGGTTTCGGTTTCGGTTTAAATATTGAAAAACCGTTTATTTCGGTTCGATTCAGTTTTTGATAAAAAAAACCGAACCGAACCGAACCGAACCGAATACACCCCTACCTAAGCTTACTATGCTCCAAAAAGAAGAGCAAGCAAGAAATTATTATTATTTTATTAAGCTAAGGTGATTATAAAATAATATATGTTTTAAATACTATCAATGTAACATCCTCCATGCTGGGTTAGTGATTAATTTGCAAAGTTTTAACATTTGGTGATTTAAGTAAAATGATGGAAGAGTTTAATGATCTATTTGGGTTATTGGGTGTAGGATTGAATCATAAAGAAGGAGAATTAAGAGGGCAAAAGAGTAATTGAGTAAATGAAATAATTAAATATTCCTTAGGGTGATATTATAAATCACGTGGGCATTTGAGATAAGCCTTCCAGACTTTTCTCTTCTTCTCTTCCTTCTCCAACCGTGTGAAGCTTGCAAGTAAAGGTGAGAATCTTAACCTTGGTAGTTTCTTTGATTTTTAGATTGGAAATGGAAGTTTGGATGTTATATAAGCTAAAGGAAAGCTTATGTGACATTAAGACAACAAGATAAGTGTTTTAGAGATAGATTTGGAAAATGAGTTTTTAAATGGAAGTTTGATATGGATGAGTTTTTGAAGTTTGAATAAGATTTTTGACCTGTCAATAAGTTAATTAAGAAGTATGAGGTAATAGAATTGAAATTAGAACAAGTTTAAATTTGAGTAAGATTCTTCAATTCCATATGGATGATTAGTTTTTTTTTTTATAGTTTAGAGGTATTGAATGGATAATAATTAGTTGAAGTAAGTGTATGAAAGCTAAGAGTATTAAGGAGAGTGAAATATGTATGTTTGAGCTGAAATGAGATGATTTCCGGGCTCAAAATAGGATTTCTGGGTTAGGGGAATCGGTACCCATTCAAGGGGAACCGATACCCCCTCAACGAATATGAAATTCCAGAATGCTAGAGGGGAATCGATACCCCCAGGGGGAACCGATTCCCCCATGAAAAAAAAAGAAGAAAGAAAAGAAAGAAAGACTAAGCTATTAATTCCTTAAATTAGTAAGCTATTAAAGCTTAATTTCAAGACATAGACATCTGATAATCATCTTGGAAATTATGTTTATGTAGATACCGAGCCTACACGAGTTCGGGAACAATCTACAAGTAGGATCGATCGAGGAAAAGGCAAAGAAATATAGGTGAGTGCATATGCATAGCATAATTATAGAAATATACTCCATTCTAGACTTGTGATAAGTCTAGATTTTATATTTTGGTACATGAGCATATTCTGTATTATGAGACATGACATGAGTTCATATAAAATGCATTATATGACATGAATATGTGGGAAAAGTTATGAGCTATGTGAAAAGGTAAGAATTTACATGTCTACGCGATATACACTACGTGAAATGTAAAAGCCCATGTTATGTAGATGAGAACTATAGGTATAGTTGGCATGCCAAGGGTAGAGGGTCTACGCGGTCCTTCGGGACATATGTATATTCTTTGGAACATGTGTGAAGTCTTGAAAGACACATACTTGATCCTTAGTATATGTATATGGTTCTTAAGGAATTCTATGTGGTCCTTATGGACATCATTATATGGCACTACGGTGCAATTCTACGCGGTCCTTCGGGATATATATATATTCTGTGGAACATGTGTGAAGTCTTGGAAAGACACATACTTGATCCCTAGTATATGTATATGATTCTTAAGGAATTATATGTGGTCCTTATGGACATCATTATATGGCACTACGGTGCAATTCTACGCGGCACTTCGGTGCATTTATACGAGCTGTGGTGACAGCATAGTGCACAACCTCACATTACTCAGATACCTTAGGTTCTCAATATGCTATCATGGGCCA